GTCAATAGATTCCTGCACCAGCTAGAGGCCTGTCTGTCAGTCAGACGGGATCCGTCTGTGTAACATACTAAGCTTCCTGGGCGAAACTCTACTTGGAAAGTGTAACCCCAGACGAAATAGAAATTCCTTCAATTATTATTATTATTTATTTATTCTCATATGAATACATTTACAAAGACATACATATTCTGATATTATAAAAATTCTAAAATTTTATCTACTTCACATAGGTTATTGACCTGTGTGTGAATTAGATAATTATTATAAACTTTTTGTAAAAAATTTTCAAGTTCTTAAAAATATTTAGATTAAATAATAATAAAATTAAATTATTTGAAGAGATTATCAATTTCTTTTGCATTATCCAAAAACCAAATTTTAATTTTTTTTTTGAATGTTACAATATTCAAACGTCTCAATTTTGATGGAACTCTGTTAAAAATTTTTGACCCAATAAAACTACTATGGTTTTGCATGATTTTAAGATTATGTTTTTCAAGTTGAACATTATCATTTCTTGTACAATAATTGTGACTAATTTTATTACTAAATGCAGTGTTTTTTTTCAAGAAATTCAATGATGCTTTATAAAATAATTGTTTGACATTCAGTATATGATTATCTACAAATAATGAGGATGATGGATAATCCAAAGGTTTGCGAAAAATTATTTTCAAAACATATTTTTGAATACTTAATAATGGTTTGAGATGAGTCTCATACATACCACCCCATCCAATGATTCCATATGACAGAATAGATTGAAAAAGTACATGATATAACATTATGATTAAATTTCTATTAACAATATTTCGTGAAAATCTGAATTTTGGAAGAGTACTTCTGAGCTTCTTAGTAAGTTCTGAAACGTGATGATTCCACTTTAAATGTTGATCAATATAAATTCCAAGATATTTAATAAAAGCAACTTTATTTATTTTGTGGGTACATGAACAATTCATTTTTGATTCTTTGGATAATATTTTAGTGCGTTTTTTTTATCTCTTGGAGCGCACGAGAGGGAATTCCTATAATGTTCAAAGAAGGGATAGGAGGTAGGTATTGAAATTTTTTTTGAACTTCTGGAGATTATATGTTGTTGATAAAAATTCAAACAATAAAGGAAATGAAAAAGTATCAGACCAAAATTCACCCACCCTAGTTATACGATTGAAAACAAAATAGTGCGGCAGATAAGCTAGAATATTTCATCTATTGTGCACTTTTTGATGAATGCACCGAATTTTGCACAGAGGTAGACCAATTGTATAAATGTAATTTTGTGATTTGTTGTTATGTTCACTGATTAATCAGTTGTTACTCTCTTAGGCATAAATTGTTAGAATTTGTTTGAGAATCTGTGATTTCTATATGCCATATTTTGAAAGTTTGGTGATGTTTTGTTTGTGTTAATATAAGGTTTCTGATCAAATTGTTTATTTCTACATCGTTCAGATCATCCATATCATTAAATTCAAATTTGAGTTCCATTTTAACTAATCAGAATTGTTTTTTCATCCATTTTTCAATGTTAGTCCAACCTTTTTCTCAATGATTCCGCATGGGTTTGACCATGCGATGCATTTCTATCGAAAAAATTGAAGACGATGATTATTTATCTATTTCGAAATACAGATATTACAATTTCACCCGAAAATCTGACCTATTCGTATGCGAAACTGATTCGTCATTTATCCAGAACTCGCAGAAGTAGGAAGACAGGAAATTATCCCAACCTTCGATTTTCAAATAAAACACCCTGTATTACATTCCACAATCGGTTAGAGGTTGTTATAACGAATTGAACAGTACCGGGTTTGATAGGGTTATCTCGAACGATTACGAAGATATTTGCATTCGAATTTTCAAATGCTCCGCAGCTCAGAGCGAGTAAACATGATTAAAAATGTCAATTCAACCATACAGTGTGTGCCACTTTGAGCAGCACCACCTTGGTATTTTCTCAATCGCTGACAGATTTAAAAAAATTTGTGTTTCAACATGTACTTCCCAATGAGTTCTACATTTCTGAGTATTTAACACTTTGATTGCACTACGATACGGCAAACTATGATAATTCGAAAATGCCTAAAATCAGTTAGTAATATCAGGAAATTTTTCAGCGGAAAACTGACATTCTCAACATGTTGAGAACTCCCTCGAATACATGTGGTCAAATTCTCATGTTGATATCATATACAGGGCGTTATTTATTGTCAATTAATTTTTGATGCTTGAAAATAATGAGAAAAGTATAATTAACATCATGACTCGCATCATGATTTCATTTAGATACTACTTGAAAACACATGCTTCATAATGACCTAATACACAGGATGATATTTGAACTACGAATATTTTGTTATAACTTTCATGCTTGCTTCAATTCAAATTGAATTTTCTTGTTTTCAACATTTGTTTTCTTTCCTTGTGTTTCAAATTTGGTAGTTCCTGTGTTTATTCCAAATATTTGAAGATATAAAAATAATAACCTGTGAGCAGAGTGATTTTTTTTAATACTATACTTATTAACAGAAATGATTCAACTCTTGAACACCCTCTATCATTGCTATTCCCTAAATGTCAGTATTTTCGATTATTCCACCATTATTTTCTATACATTTGAGAATCCGTCTTCTGTTATTTGTTGCCTCCTTCTTTAATGTATTAGGAGTAATGTTATGACATGCCACCAAAATTCTTTCTCGCAGTTCTTCACTACTCCTGGGTCTAGACTTATAAACTTTCTGCTTCAAGATACCCCATAAAAAGAAATCAAGGGGCGTCAGGTCTGGCGATCATCCTGTGTATTAGGTCATTATGAAACATGTGTTTTTAAGTAGTATCTGGATGGAATCATGATGTTAATTATACTTTTCTCATTATTTTCAAGCATCAAAAATTAATTGACAATAAATAACGCCCTGTATATGATATCAACATGAAAATTTGACCACATGTATTTGAGGGAGTTCTCAACATGTTGAGGATGTCAGTTTTCCGCTGAAAAAATTCCTGATATTACTAACTGATTTTAGGCATTTTCATTTTATCATAGTAGGCCGTGTTGTAGTGCAATCAGAGTGTTGGATACTCAGAAATGTAGAACTCATTGAGAAGTAGGTACATGTTGAAACACAATTTTTTTTAAATCTGTCAGCGATTAAGAAAATACCAAGGTGGTGCTGCTCAAAGTGGGACACACATAATTCAGAACCCCTGAATTTCGTTTCATTATACATTCAATAATAAAAAGCTATAGGAATGAGCATTCTTATTAAATCACCCGTTATAGTGTACGTTAAATCATGGAAGATATATTTGAGGAAGAATATAATAGATACATTGAGAATTATAGGAGTTTTATCTTTGGATTGACATATCAACTGAACTGAAAACAATATCATTCACTTTGTTCAGAAGAATGCTTAAAATACTAATCGTCTCATGATAACATTCAATGAGGAAATACGATATGTATAACAATATCTTGGAACAAAAACACTCTCCATGGAATCAGCTTCTTCTAATACTTACTATAAATTTTTGGAATTCAGAATATATGTTTGAACCAACTAAATATATGAGGTGTCCCGAAATTAGCCTACCAAACTTCACCAGCGGCTTCTACGAACAAAAATAGGAAGAGAAGTTTCTATTAAATTTCTTTTTTTTTATCGCTTGGAGCGCACGAAAGGAACTACAACCCCCTGAAGATGATATTTCTTGAGTATATCCATGTGATAAAGATATTCAATTTGGTACAAGAACTGAACTTTTCATGCCTATTGCAATGGAAATGAAATCATTCCAAAATTCCACTCAGGAGTGTAAAATACAGGGTGGGACTACATTAAATATTGCTCAAAATTTTTTGAATGCATATTTTTCTGACAATTCAATCTCGAATTATGAAAATCCACACTTAGCTCTTTACAGAAAAAGGGTACTCTTGCTCCCAAACGGTCAGATGTATCATTATCGAGTAAAAGCGATTTGGAAATATTGTTACATCTCAGGTATTATGCATTAACATTAATATAAGTCGTAGTGGAAATGGAAAAAAATGCACAAAAATCTGAGTAGTTTTTTATCATCATTTTTCTATTTCTTGTGTTTACATAAGATTGTTTGGTGAAAAGAAAGTAGTTGAGTTTTTAAGAGCCACTATCATTTGAAAATTGGCAACGTTATGCATATGATGTGAGCGTATCAATATTTTCAAATCGTTTTCACTCGAACATGATGGATCTGATCGATGCGTAGCAGGAGCACCATTTTTTTTGAAATGGTGTTGATTTTCATAATCCGAAATTGAATTGTCGAAAAATATGTAAACTAAAAATTTGAGGAATATTCAATGTAGTCCCATTCCGTATCCGGCATAGAAAGTATAGTTCTTTTACCGAATTGCATCAATTTATCACGTATGGCGTTCCAGAAATATTCAAGGTATATTCATTCTGCAAGAGCCCCCTTTCAGGGGGCCGTAGCTTCCTTAGGATACATTTTTCGCCTCGTGTTCATTGAAACTTTTCTTCCTATTTTCGGTCGAATAAACTGCTGGTGAAGTTTGGCAAGCTAATTTCGGGACACCCTGTATATTCCAAATGAATGATTTTCTACATTTGAGTCAGTTGTCCAATGGAATTGTTTTGAATCAATACTCAGGGTATTACTATAATCATCATTTCGAATTAAGAATTAATTTCTGTGGGTGTAATGAAATATGTTGATGAAAACACTCATCAGAATGAAGTAACTCGATATGAATAATAAACATAATCTCCATTAGATAATTGCTACTCTCCAGTGTTCTGTCAGACATCAAGAAAACTAACCAGTAACTGAAATGAGTGCACAAGAATCCATAAAATGTCTGGGATACATATCGAAAATATGCAGTATCCTTGGTGTTTTCCCAACTCGTGCAAACACATGGATATATAAAGTTTACTGTTCGACAATATTTTCACTCATATTAATCAACGCCGTTATAGCTTTCAAGGAAAGGACTTCTCCTCTATTCCCTACCTATCATGTGATAATCAAAGCAGCAGAACAAATGGCGAATGGTTTCTTAACGCTGGCCGCTTCTTCTGCAACTATTTCGAACGTTTTTGTCTCTCCCAGCAAATTGCAAGAGATTCTCGATTTGCTGTTGAAATTCGATATCGATATTGGCAACCATCTGCAGGTAATGCATACAACCTTCTGGTATATTCTGATCGCTTTGAACGCAATCATCATACTGGTATTATCCCTGGATTCCTGGTTGTGGATTGATGCTGTCAGTCTGACGATATACAAGTACTATCTCGTGAGAAACGTGCAATACTATCAGCTGACTATATTCTTATTCCTGATATTCTGGATGGCCATGGAGGTATACTGCAGGTTCGTCATGTTGAATAAGTTTCTGGAACGATTTTATGAAACTAATCTGAAGAATCATCCCATCGTCATTTATCTAGAAATTGCCAGAGTGAGAAGATTACACAATCAGCTCTGTAAGGTGTTGGATTACTTGAATGGAATCTTCGGAATGGTGATGCTGCTGTATGTGCTATTTGTTATGGCTCACATTATTTTATATACCATCACTATGATATTATATGGGAGTCTTGGTGGGTCCCTTCAGAATTATACTCTGCGTATTGGATTATTACAATTAACTTCTTGCTGCTGGATAATACTGAACTTTGTAAGTATATAAACCTTTGAGTTGATCATTAGTAAATTATTGATTCAACGAAAGAATGAAGAAGCAAATATCTCTCCGAATTGGAAATATTTTTTTATGTGTATCATTGATTATGCCGATTAATACACATCTATTCTGAGAACCAATGGAATTTCTTCAATTTCTCAAGACCCACCAATCACCAGGCATTTGTAGTGATGTAAAGCTAGCTATCTTGCTTCCCCAATAATCGATAAATGCAGGGTGATATTTCAAAAAGTTCTTTCTCCTAGTAAGTTATAATTATATGAAAAATCGAGAAGACAAATGAATCTTAATTTCAAGGGAGACACTCAAAATGAATATTCTTAGTCCTCTTGGTTCAACCTCCTAGGAGGAGTAGATGTCACCCTTAGAATCTCACATGGAAAAGGGGGGTCAATTCAATTATCTTTCCAACGGTACCCCAGTTTATTATTTTCTGTTGAGTATTTTCCAAAAAGAGCCTTGTCATTTAGAAAACTTCCCACCTTTAAGATCTTCCTTCCAGTAAATGAGATGAAAAATCGAAAAGATGGGTCAATTTCAATGTCGAGGGGGGCACTTTGAATGCATATTTTTAGCCCTGTTAGTTCAACCCCCTAGGAGGGGTAGATGTTACCCTCAGAACCTCATATTGTTCCAGTCTTCGGTATATACAAGCTGATTGACAAAAAACGCCCTAAGCCATAGCACCTTTATTACCAATCCGATTTTGAGAAACGAAAAAGCGAATTGAATGATCCACCAGATGCTACGGGGTGACACTAACAATTTCTTATTCCATTTTCTATTCTAACGACAGCGATTGTCAACTTTTTTATAAATGTCATTGTATAATAATAATAATAATAATAATCGTTCTTTATTGAATTGAATACATATATATAACATATAAGTACAATCATTACTATTCAATTCTACCGGCTATCGACCTAGGTCCTTCAGCCTTGTCATTGTATATTTTTCATTCTATTTGTTTTTATACTGAAATGAGATGAAACGTGTAAGTTGATGATATCGGCAGGTAGCCCGACGGTAGTACCAAAGTTGCACGATTGTCTTCATCAGAGACGTCTTTATGACCTCTATTTCAGGTCAATACCAGGCAGAGAAGTTCTGTGACCAATATAGGACGTTAAAATGAAGTCAATTCTCATGACGTCAATTCACCGTGATTCAAATTACTGCCATAATAACGTGTGATTACTCTATAAAGTGACGTTTATTCGACATACTATTGACGTTGTTCTTGATGACCATGAAAACAATCTTCAACATATTATTCAATTGATATTTGATTAGAATACCGCGGCATGAATGAATGAATGAATGATTTGACAACGTTTGTACTTATTAAATAGAATTCCATTCTGTTTCATTTTTGTACATATATGGCAGTAGGTTACATCTTTACATAAATATTTTTAAGTATGCATAATGATATTGAAATATAATCCAGTCATTGATGAGTTCCACGTACGTGGGTTTGCGTCTAATTCTGCTATCGAAAGAATTTTCTTCGGGCCCAACTATTCCTGATATGTATTCACATCATAGTATGAGTTTCTTTCCAATCAATCGAAAGGCATTAATTCGATACAAAAACAAATAACAATTTCAATTCGGACGCCATCTTCCTGTTGTTTTGGCGATTTATTCTAACGAAATACTGGCAGACAGACTCAGTACGAACAGGAACTACAACGACCCCACCGACCGTACACGAAACGCGAAGAAAGAAAAGCGAAACGCAACGCCATGTTGTCGAATTTTTTTTCATGTTCTGGTTCCCACGAAGAAGAAAATCCTGTAATTTTTATGTGGTTTTATGTTGTCTCGGATGTCTCACTACACGGAAAAAAAGGAATTGTTGAATCAAGCAAAATTTAATTGAATGGAGCGAATAAAAGTGTCATATATGCACGACAAAATATGATCTTGAAATGAGTAAATCTATATCTTGTTTCAGAGCGAATTTGAAGTTTGAATCAAATAAATATGTCTTGCATTAACTCTGGATCCTCTTCAATCAAGCACATTCACGAATTGTTTTTAAAGAGATATTGAATTGGATCAAACAATCATTTTGTTTGATTCAACGAAATATTTGGTTGATTCAACGCAATATTTGGTTGATTCAAAGAAATATTTGGTTGATTCAATGAAATATTTGTTTGATTCAATGAAATATTTGGTTAATTCAATTAAATATTTTGTTGATTCAAGAGGAACTATATATCCATTCGACAAATCATTTTGGTGAACCAAATTCAATATTCGGGAATTTTCTGAAATTTCACATCAATAGAATAAACAAAACTAGGAAACAAGTCGACTTCTAGCATAGATCTTCAGTCTTTACTTCTCCTCATCTTAAGTTCGATTCATCCAGCTGATATTTCAAACACGAAGAATCAGGCTTCACGTATATAATGAATTCGAGGCAGGCATAGACGGGGCGAAATGATCGCCATCTAGAGGCGGAAATTTAAGTTGATGTAGAATGAATAAAATATTTCATTGATATTACATATTTCGTTGCTCTATTCAAGCAAATGATCCGTTCGAAACAAGTTCATTGCTACATCGGAATAAGAAAACTTGTATGTTGTTTCAAAGATATATTCCCATCAAAATGATCATTATTTGATCAAATCAACAAAATGTTTATAGTTGAATCAACATCGACATTATCTTGGATCAACATAAATTGTTTTTGATAAAACCATATATTTTGTTGATGGAATTGATATTATACCGTTGATTCAATTAGACTACATTCTTGATTTGAACAAGCTGCTTTCATGAAATGATCATGTATCTGGTTGATTCAACGAAAAATTGCTTAGTCCAACAAAAATAATTCAAGCATATAGTTATTTGTTTCATTAGTACAAAAAATGACTGTTTTTGGGACGAATAAGAAGGTTGCCGGACGACGCGTAGCGGAGTACGGCAATCTTATGAGTCCCAAAAACGCATTTTTTGTACGAATGAAACACAATATTTTTTTTCCAACCACTTAAGTTTCAAAAATAACAAATTATATGTTCTGAAAATACCTACATGTAGTTATAGTGAATTTTAACGACCAAATTCCCTGTACAAATCTTTATTTCCGAAAATCAGGGCATTTTGTACAATTTTCCTTTCAATTTACATACCTAATATTGTTTAGAACAATAATAATCCATTGTAACAGTAAATACCATTCGAACAATTGGTGGAAAGTATTCAAACAAATCTTCAAAACTGAAAATAGATATTTTGTTGTTTACTCCTAAATATTTTGTTTAGAACAATAATTTATATTCACTGTTACGTTACAATTTGAACAATTGGATAGTTGTATTGGTGGGTACGCAGATTGGTGAACAGCATCTGTGCTAGTACTTGGAGAATAATCCGTATTTATATTATTTTCCTGAACTGAGGAATTTAAAATTTTATTTGCAGTTTCTAGTTTGTTGTTGATGGATTCGTCTATATAGCCCTCAGCAACAGTAGATGAATGCCACCCTCCATGTCTTTTTAGGGCCGTTATATCTGCTCCAGCATTAACTAATAAAGTAGCAGACGTCCGCCTTAGGCAATGGCCAGTGTAAGCTTCAGAATTTTGTAAATTCAAATAAACAGCCACATCCTTTGCAGTAGATGCCAATTTATGAATGCCTACAACCTGTTTATGGCATTTCCCATTGGAGTATTTGATAAAAAATCTTGAATTATTCATATTACCCGGTCGAAGGGCTACATATTTCTTATAGATTTTCAAATAATTATCACCCGTCACTGTGAAGGATCTAGGCCTGTTTGTCTTCGTTATAGCATAGACTACAGAAGATAAACCATAAGATAGTTCACTCGTTCATTTTTCGACTTCTAAGAGATCTCGCCGCAACCTAGCCGACCGCTGGATTCTGCCGGCTAACGACTGCCGGGGCCTTTGAAATCGCAATCTAATTAGCTGTCAACCGACCGCAACCGTTTGGCGGTGCAATGATTTATAGAAAAGCAAAAAATGCAATGTTGGGCTGTACCGACAAACGGATTTCACTAAGTGAACTATCTTCTAGAATTCAGTAATCTTTGGTTATAGGTATCTTTATTAATAAAGCGGATTCCAAGTCTTTAATGTCTTCTATTTTCATTTTTGATAATTCATCACGTCTTAATGCTCCAGCTACTCCAAAAATAAGCGCAACCTATAAATAAATGCAAAATTAATCCATGAAAGAAGTTTTTACTTAAAAAAAAATATATAAAAAAACCGTGCTAACGGGATTTGAACTCGGGATTTCCGCACCAGAAGCTCAGTCTCTGACTACTAGGCTAATGAGGCCTATGTTAATATCTTTCGTGATTGTTATTCATAGCGTACACTTTTCCTCTCGTACATAATTTGAATACATATTTGAATATTCAACATTATTTTAATAAGATCAGTGAAAATTACTCCTTACCTTAGTCAT